CCGCCGTATGTTCTCCACAGAAAACGTCCCCGAAACCTTAGTCTTCGCTACATACTCCGATGGCCACGACGACGGTTTCAAATACTCTACTTCTTCCGACAAATCTCGCAAAGCTGCCACCGGACAATACATGTCTGAGATGAGACGACGTGGCAAAGAAACACTAACCGAACTAATCGAAGATAACCGGAAACAAAACCGGCCTTTCATCTGCGTGGTTTACACCATCCTCCTCACTTGGGTCGCTGAGCTAGCGCGTGAGTTTCACCTCCCTTCGGCTCTTCTCTGGGTCCAGCCCGTAACCGTCTTCTCCATTTTCTACCATTACTTCAACGGCTACGCAGAGGCAATCTCAGAGATGGCTAACAACAACCCCTCTGGTTCTATTAAATTACCGTCTCTGCCACTGCTATATCTCCGCGATCTTCCTGCGTGCATCGTCCCTTCCAACGTCTACGCGTTTCTTCTACCGGCGTTTCAAGAACAGATTGAGTCACTGAAGCAAGACGAGAACCCTAAGATCCTCATCAACAGTTTCCAAGAACTCGAACCAGAAGCTCTAAGCTCGGTTCTTGATAATGTCAAGTTTGTCCCTGTCGGTCCGTTGATAACCTCGAGGACTGATTCTGGGACTCGCGTTGATTACGTCGAGTGGCTAGATGCAAAAGCTGATTCGTCTGTGCTTTATATTTCGTTTGGGACACTTGCCGTGTTAACCAAGAAACAGCTTCTTGAGCTTTGCAAAGCGTTGATAAAGAGTCGGAGACCGTTCTTGTGGGCGATTACGGATAAGTCGTACAGAAGTAAACAAGATGGGGAAGAGAAAGAAGTGGAGATCATAAAGAGTTTCAGACAAGAGCTCGATGAGATAGGAATGGTGGTTTCTTGGTGCGATCAGTTTAGCGTTTTGAAGCATAGATCGATCGGTTGTTTCGTGACGCATTGCGGGTGGAACTCGACGCTGGAGAGCTTGGTCGCTGGAGTTCCGGTGGTTGCGTTTCCGCAGTTTAACGATCAGATGACGAACGCGAAGCTTCTGGAAGAGTGTTGGAGGACAGGTGTGAGAGTGATGGAGAAGAAGGAAGAGGAAGAAGGAGTGGTTGTGGTGGAGAGTGAGGAGATAAGGCGGTGCATTGAGGGAGTTATGGAGGAGAAGGCTGAGGAGTTTAGGGGAAACGCGGCGAGGTGGAGAGATTTAGCGGCGGAGGCGGTGAGTGAAGGAGGCTCTTCGTTTAATCACCTCAAAGCTTTTGTCAATGAGCACATGTGAGATTCAGTCTCGGAAGATTCAGTTAGGTTATTGCCCTTTTAAGACTTATCATTATATACAACAATTTGGATGTTGTCACGTTGATTGGTTGGTTTTAAAGATGAAATATAGTAATTTATTGAAGATGTGAAAGATAGATAGATACAGGAGAGGCACAAATGATACAATCAAATTGTCAGTTTCACTTGGACTTACTTGACTGCCAAGAAAACAAAGAAATAGAATGTTGCAATTGAATCTTGAGTTCCGAGTAAATAAACCTTTTCATTATGGTATATGTGTGGAGAGGTTTATAAGAATTTTTTGGCTATTTATGTGAGTAAAATAGGTAAAGTAACTAGAGATAACACCATATTTATTAAACGTGTTTGGGTTAGAGTAATAGAAGAATGAGTGACTTTTCAGAAAATAATTTTTGGAATCGTGTAAATAAAAACAAAACATGAAAAAATACTCATATGGTGGTTGTAGAGATAGTAAATAAGTCTATAAAGCGTCTAAAAATTAATGCATTAAATGTTGGAAATGGGTAGAGTCCATATGCTAAGAGAGGATGTGGGACAATTGATAAGGGCGGTTGAAGTCTTATAAGTTGGTATCAGAGTCGAACCTATACGAGAATGTGGAGTCATGCTGGCTCACACCGTCGGGGTAATGGTCGTGGTACACAACGGGATATTAAGTTCTCTAAGTGGAAATGAATGATCACATCCTGATTTGTTGTAGAGAGGCTTTTAAAAAAAAAATTGTTATCTATATTATTAAAGTGCACTTGTCTTTTCCGTTAGTAGAAGAATGACGGGTGATTTTCCAACAAGTAATTTATGGAACCATTAAAGTAAAGACAAAATATGGGGAAAGATCATGTGGTGATTGGAGAGGCAATAAACAAGTCTTGTAAACCTCTAAAAAAATAACGCAGCGGGATAGATCTAGGAGCAGAGAAAGGACGTGGGGCCAGCCATTCGTAGAGGCGGTGGGGACATTTTAAATTGTATTGTTTCAACTTTCAAGAACCTCCACAAGAAAAGTCCGGGTTTCTAACTTAGCGGTGTGAGATCGACGCTCTGAGAATGATAAAGAGTGCCGTCCAGGAGAGAGAGATCTTGAAGTTGTTTTAGGCAGAGCCATGCTTAGTGTGTTATGAAAAAGGCATTAGTCTTAGGCCCCCACTTATAATATATATTTTTGAGGTCCCTATTATCCAAAAATCAATGATAGTCTAGTTGTTGAAGGAAGTTTAGTGAGCATTTCTTGGATCATATCCCAAGTTCGAATCCAGGGGTAGTAGAAGCAGTCAGTGTTGGTGGAGAACCAGGAGGAGTAAGCCGAGGAGTAGTAGGAATTGTCTCCTTCCAAAACTTGTTTGGTCAAAGGTTGAATGTTTTATCGTTTGATTTTTAGGATGAGTCTTTAATATTTGCTTGGTGCTGAAAGCAACTTTAAGACCAACTCAGTCAATTCGGTCTTTCTTTAAATATTTTTTTGTTAAATAAGTCAATTTAGTCTTCATCTTTTTCCTATTCCTTATGTAGAAATTAATAATGCTACAGAATCCTATTTTTCAGAAATTTCTCTCTCGTTCTTTTTTTAAAATTAATGTAAAATTTACATCATGTGTGGCTATTGTTTGATGAGACTATTCGAAATTACAATTTAAGTTGGCTGACTTGGCTAAACTCGAGCTCCAAATCATAGTTCGGATGGTTTGAAGTCTGTTATGGACGGTTTTGTCGATGACACTTACATTATCTATTAATAATTGATTATTGCTGGCCAATGGCCAAATTGGTCGTGTGGTCATGTCCACTGAATCCAAACTTGTGGATGCTTTTCTTTTTATTTCGCTGAAATATATTTTTCCATTTTCGTCATCACCAACGTCACGAAATTGACTTGTCCAATGCACTTAGTAGGGTTTCTGTTTTTGTCTGTTCAATATATTAGCCCTTAATTAACAATTTTAATCACTTATTAGAAGGTTAAGATCTGTGTCAGTATAATCTCTATAAATCTAAACTTGCTTGTCTTTCTTTAGTTATAACACCCAGAATTAAAGAAAATGGATAATAACAAATCGAAATCACCTCACTTCCTGTTCGTCACGTTCCCAGCACAAGGCCATATCAACCCATCTCTCGAGCTCGCCAAACGCATCGCCGGAACCATCGCCGGAGCTAGAGTCACTTTCGCAGCCTCAATCTCCTCATACAACCGCCGTATGTTCTCCACAGAAAACGTCCCCGAAACCTTAGTCTTCGCTACATACTCCGATGGCCACGACGACGGTTTCAAATACTCTACTTCTTCCGACAAATCTCGCAAAGCTGCCACCGGACAATACATGTCTGAGATGAGACGACGTGGCAAAGAAACACTAACCGAACTAATCGAAGATAACCGGAAACAAAACCGGCCTTTCATCTGCGTGGTTTACACCATCCTCCTCACTTGGGTCGCTGAGCTAGCGCGTGAGTTTCACCTCCCTTCGGCTCTTCTCTGGGTCCAGCCCGTAACCGTCTTCTCCATTTTCTACCATTACTTCAACGGCTACGCAGAAGCAATCTCAGAGGTGGCTAACAACAACCCCTCAGGTTCTATCAAATTACCGTCTCTGCCACTACTGTATCTCCGTGATATTCCTACATTTATCGTCGCTTCAAACCCCTACGCGTTTTTTTTATCGGCGTTTCAAGAAATGATGGAGTCACTGAAGCAAGATGAAAACCCTAAGGTCCTCATCAACAGTTTCCAAGAGCTCGAACCAGAAGCTCTGAGCTCGGTTTTTTATAATGTCAAGATTGTCCCTGTCGGTCCGTTGATAACCTCGAGGACTGATTCGGGGACTCGCGGTGAATACGTTGAGTGGTTAGATACAAAATCTGATTCGTCTGTGCTTTACATCTCATTCGGGACGCTTGCCGTGTTAAGCAAGAAACAGCTTCATGAGCTTTGCAAAGCTCTGATAAAGAGTCGAAGACCGTTCTTGTGGGTGATTACGGATAAATCGCACAGGAGTAAAGAAGATGAAGCTGAGAAAGAAGAAGAGATCATCAAGAGTTTCAGACAAGAGCTCGATGAGATAGGAATGGTGGTTTCTTGGTGCGATCAGTTTAGCGTTTTGAAGCATAGATCGATCGGTTGTTTCGTGACGCATTGCGGGTGGAACTCGACGCTGGAGAGCTTGGTCGCTGGAGTTCCGGTGGTTGCGTTTCCGCAGTTTAACGATCAGATGACGAACGCGAAGCTTCTGGAAGAGTGTTGGAGGACAGGTGTGAGAGTGATGGAGAAGAAGGAAGAGGAAGAAGGAGTGGTTGTGGTGGAGAGTGAGGAGATAAGGCGGTGCATTGAGGAAGTTATGGAGGAGAAGGCCGAGGATTTTAGGAGAAACGCGGCGAGGTGGAGAGATTTAACGGCGGATGCGGTGAGTGAAGGAGGCTCTTCGTTCAATCATCTCAAAGCTTTTGTTGATGAGGAGGGCATGTGAGCTTCAGTCTTCGGTTATGTCTTTTTTAAGACTATAGTACTACATTATATGGATGTTGTCACGTTGATTGGTTGGTTTTAAAAGAGGATATGTAATTTCTTGGAGATGTGAGATGGAGAGAGGCACAAATGATACAATCAAAATGTGAGTTTCACTTGGACTTACTTGACTGCCAAGAAAACAAAGAAATTGAATCTTGAGTATATAATAATTGTTTTTACGTGTGACAGAGGAAGCAAACTCTTAATGAGCGTTGCGAGTGATCAATCCCTCGAAAACGACGTAGAGATCTCTGTTATCGCCTCCAAATATCTCTTCAGCTTTCCTAAGCGTTTCCTGGAAAAAACACAAACATTGCAGATCGATTCAAAATCCGAGTTTCAAATCGAAAGAAGGTAAAAAAAAAACAGTTTAGAGACAGAGAGAGTGAGAGATTACTTCTCTTGTTTGCTTGTGAGCGTTAAGATCCTTCACATTTCCAAGAAATGCACCAAACTGCTCGTAAGATAATCGGCTCCTGATCAAGAATCAATAACAAAGATGTAGATATGTCACAGACAGTGCTACCGAGAATCTTTTTGTAAGAAGTTTTCAGAATTAGTTGTCATTTTACCTGACTTGTCGGAAGAACTCTTTCCCATCAACCCGAGTTCGTCCTGAAAAAAACAGAGCAAACCGTTAACAATCGTATTGTTTAAAGAACCGTCAAAAGAAAAGTCCCGGTTTTTCACTCACCAGTGTGTGAACCAGGCTCTGAGATTGAGATAGAGGATCTGTTATCATCAAACATGCCTCTACTGGTAGCGAATGATACAGAGTGGCGTCGAGGAGAGATAGGCCTCGACGTCGTTTTAGGGGTCGTAGAAGCAGATAGGGATGGTGGAGAACCAGGAGGAGTAAGCCGAGGAGTAGTAGTCTGAGACACTAATGGAAGACTCTGTGATAAACTCGGTTTAGGAGCTGCGATTTTCATACAAAAATCTTAGAGCTTTATATTTACACATACAAACAAAATGATCAGTGGCTAGAGAATTGAGATCTCTTTACCTTCGTTTTCCTTCTCTATTGTAGCGGTGGATTCAATGAGTTCAGAAGATTGAGACTGGATTGATGAATGTCTTGAAGGTTGAAATGGAGAATCTTCATCTGAAAATTCACAAGATTTGGTAGATGAACACATGATTTCACTAATTTCAAGAACTTGTGTAAAAAGAACAAGAAACTATACCATTTGGTGTTGGCTTAGCGATGATTTGTGTTCTTCCTGCCTATTAAAACCCAAAAGATAATCACTTTAAAAGACAATGAAATTTGTTTACTTCAAAGTTAAGCAAGTGAAGAGCTTTAAGGTTTCATACATTTTGGTCGTCATCTTGAAGAGACATCATAAGCGTCTTCCTGAAACCTTCAAGCTGCATCATTTCGTAAATTCATCAACGAACTTCTATTGAAACATCTTTCGAGCTCCAAAAAAAACTTATTTTTTTACTGCTAATTTCGAATAATCCTAAATAAAACTCGAGATATTGCTAAATTTAGAAGACCCAAGTCGATTTTGAGTCTTAAAATTTTTACCTTTAAGACATCTCTCTGGAGTCTCTTCACAGTATTAGATAACGAAGAATTCTCTCTCAGAAGATTCTCCTGCAAATTTTTGAGATGATTAATTAAACTGAAAACGATTCGGGTCGGGTTTGGAAGTCAAACTCGGGTTCGGACCTTTTCACCGTCGGCGAGAGAAAGCTTGTGCAAAGCATCGGAGAGAGACGCGTCGAGAGACTCGACGTGCGATTGGAGCTCGGAGATTTCTTTCTCCCTCTCGGCGAGAAGTTCCCGGAGATCGGAGGACTCTGATTCGAGAGCAGAGACACGTGTCGAGAGAGCAATGGATGTGATTTTGCGGGCCACATCTAGCTGCTCGAAAGGATCGGACGGTAGGACTTGAAGGACTTCCGCGGGAAGATCGAAACTTCTCGAACCTGTAACCGCACTCGATCCTTCTTCCTCTTCTTCTATCTCTGACATTTTCGTTTCTTCGTATTTTGATTTTCTTTTTTCCGTTTACTTTAATTTCTTGTTTTTCAGTTTTTATCGTTTTTCTTTTGTAATACGTATTTGGTTATGTTACGGTATAAACCGGTATAGTACTTTTCTTAACCCAAATCGAAATTTGAGTCTAAACTCTAAACTAAACAACAAATTCTTCGTTACACGATATAAATTCATCGACCGAGACAAGGTATGACGAAAACTTAACGCATTTCTCAACACCAATTTTGAATTTTGCGTTCTGGAAAAATAGAATTTCGGTTTGGGGTTAAGGTTCCGGTTCGGTTACGTAGTGTTGATATGATTGATAGACGTGAAGGGATATAGAGAATGTGGTCACGTATGCTTTGTCTTTTGTGTATTTTGTGAGATGGCATAGGTTTAATAATGTGTGGTATTGATTGGGGTAAGCCAAATTTGCGATCTATGAATGGATATGATCACATAACTCGTAGGACCCTTGAAAAGAGACGCACAAAAAATGACAACGAAAATAAGGGATACAAGTTTGATGTCGATTATAAGAAAACCACATCTCATAATTTGAATAAACCGTAGGAAAAAAAGAAGGTGATACACTGATACGTCGCTCAAATGTGTTTCTATGACACATTCTAAGCTACGGCATTTTTTTTTTTTTTTTTTTTTTTGATAACCCAGGTGTCCGGACCACAACGGGTCCTGGACACGAGCCGTATAGCTCTCCTTGAAGGGGTCCTGGACGCCACAAATGAGTGACGACTAACATTTTATTCAAGAAAACTGGCGTGGTTCTGAGGGTCCGGAGAAATCATGTGAAAACCCCGATGATCAAGGAGAATCGAACCGTGGGCACCATATTGGGATTATCCCCTCAAGTACCACTGGCCAACCCACATTGGTATTGAAAGATCAAGAAACTAGCTTCAAACTTGAAAGTACGTCACTACACAAATGTAGTGCATAAAATTAAAAAGAAGATGTACTTGGACAAATACAGAAAACCGAACAAATATATTTCTCTCCGATTCTTTCCTGTCTGTCCTACGATTTGAACACAACCAACTGTTTTAATGGTAAAGCAAGAGACGCAAGAAACAAGATATGATTTCAAATCGAATATAATCTCTATGGACTATTATTTTCTCTAAATTAAAGATTGTAATTCACATCAAATGGCCGCAAGTTTACACTGAGAGATAAGCTTGACAATAAGAACAATATTTAATTTTCCGAAAATATTCTCAGAATTGCAAATTATTTTCTTTGTTTCATAATAAGATTTTTCTACATATATAGACTAAGAACTCATTTTATTTAAAAAATTTTCAAAATAAAACATATTTTATCATCAATTCCAGAATAATTTAAGCAATGAAAAAAATAATTTGCAGAATTCAAAAAGTCAGAAAAATAATTAAAATACATTTAATTTTGGAAACACTATATAAAACACCAAATGGGATGGATATAGGCATATACAGTAAAAACTCTATAAATTAATAAACACGATAAATTAATAAATTTCTCCGGTCCCAAGTTGGGCCGGTGTAAAATATGACACAATTCGATAAGATAATAAGATAATAACTTTTTTAAACTCCTATGTAAAATATGGTCCCAATAATATCATAAATTAATAATTATCATATAAAAACTTATTTCTATATATATATATATATTTTTTATCTAGATATCTACCTACTAAAATATGAATCTCTCACACATAAAAAAATAAAAGGAAAAAAGGAAATTTAAAACAATATAGCAAGTATGAGAAAATGTAAACAATAAAGTAAATATAGAAACAATTAAAGAAAAAAGTTAAAAAAAATATATGTATAAAGGAAAATTCTTATTTCATTTGAAGGAAAATTAAAAGACTATTATTGAATTTTATTTTTTTGAAAAAACATTTTTGGTCAAAATCTATATATTAATAACTCTATAAATTAATAAAATATCAAAGTCCCGACATTATTAATTTATAGAGTTTCTACTGTAGTTTTTTTTAGTTTTAAAAGTCGGAGAAATGGAAAAAACAAACTAGTACGAAAACAGTTTTATTAAAATGTTAATAGATATCTTAATTAGTGAAATATTAGGAAATTTTCGTTTTTTCGTAATTAATTATAGAAACCTATATCTCTCCGTCCCCGATCTACAATCTCTCTGATAAACCCAGTAAGAATTTACAATCAAGGGTTGCTTCAAATTACTGTTCATTGATTCTTCTACGGTTTCGATCGAATCGAGCAGTGAGATCAAGGGAAAGGCGATATGGATCTCGACGCCACCGTGCCACTGAGCGAGCGCGCGGAGTGGTCAGACGTGGTCCCGTTGACTCAGAACGATGGTCCAAATCCGGTGGTTCAGATCGCCTACAAGGAAGAGTTCCGCGAGACTATGGATTACTTCCGTGCGATTTACTCCTCCGACGAGCGATCTCCTCGCGCACTACGACTCACTGAAGAAGCTCTCCGCTTAAACTCCGGGAACTACACCGTAATGATTCTTTTAACTTCTCTGCTTCGTAATGTGCTTGATTCTTCTTCTTCTGAGCCCTAGAGGAAAATTTAGTTGGAGAATTTGTATAATTCTCATATAATCATTACGTATTTAAGTCTTACATGGTTTTGAGATTTGATGGATCAGCTCTTACAATCTTGTAGTCTTAACGATATTGCTTTTTCCTCTTTGAAGGTGTGGCATTTCAGGCGCTTAGTACTCGAGGCGCTTAATCAAGACTTGTATGAAGAACTCAAGTTCATCGAACGCATTGCTCAGGATAACTCTAAGAACTACCAATTGTGGTAAAGTTTATACCTTTGTCTATGTTTGCTTTTATGTGATAGCCTACATTTTTCATAGACTGGAGTATGTTTTACTCTATGCTTTTGTGGGAATCATACAAATTTATAGGCTCTTATATATTTGAGACCAAAGTTTGTTCTTTTATACATTGTAAAGGTCCATAATGTCCCATCTCTGCTGCTTAAACAAAACTTGTTTGCTTTTGATTTGTGATGATGGATGGCTCTGCTCTAATGTTTCTCTTTCTTCTTTAGGCATCATCGGAGATGGGTTGCTGAGAAACTAGGACCTGATGTTGCTGGGAAGGAACTTGATTTTACTCGGAGGGTACTTTCACTTGATGCCAAACATTATCATGCTTGGTCACATAGGCAGGTTTGTCATTCTCAATCAAAACCTTGTTAAGGCACTCACTTGATGTATGTTCATCTTTTAGTTTATGCTTGATGTTCTGAAACAATCTGCAGTGGGCACTACGGGCATTAGGAGGATGGGAAACTGAGCTTGATTACTGTCACAAGCTCCTTGAAGCTGACGTCTTTAACAATTCTGCTTGGAATCAGGTAAATATGATCCATCAATACACACCACGCTAGATTCTGTTTCCCAAATCTATTTGAATAACTCAATTCTCTTAAAATCTGGCAGAGGTACTACGTTATTACTAGATCTCCTTCATTGGGAGGCCTAGAAGCCATGAGAGAATCTGAAGTAAGCTACACAGTCAAAGCCATTTTAGCCAATCCTGAAAACGAGAGCTCATGGAGCTACCTGAAAGCTCTTTACAAAGACGACACTAAGTCATGCATTAGTGATCCAAGTGTCTCCTCAGTCTGTTTGAGTGTTCTCTCGCGCACTGATTGCTTCCATCGGTTTGCTCTGAGCACCCTTTTGGATCTTCTATGCGAGGGACTGAGACCAACCAACGAGCATAGAGACTCGGTGAAAGCTCTAGCTACTGAAGAAGCAGATACTAACTTGGCCAATTTGGTGTGTACCATTCTCGGTCGTGTTGATCCTATTAGAGCTAACTATTGGGCATGGAGGAAGACCAAGATTACAGTGGCAATGTGATTTTTAAGGTTTAGTCTTTAGTGCTTGTTTAAAATCACATGAACATGTTTCTCTTCTCATACATCAAAACAATCTTCGTTTCTTGGATTAGCTTTATCAATATCTATCGTTAAGTTAATTTTCTGAAAACATTAATAGTCATGATTCAAGAACTTTAACTTTTGTCTTCATTTCGTTTTTCTTTAACTTCGACATTGTTCCAAAAACTTTGATATATACACATATTTATTTACAAATTATAAATATAGCTAAAATTATATGGCCACATACCTCTCCTGGAACCTGGCAAGTCGCATTCACACCGAACACCACCACAAACACTTTTAGGTTCATCAATTCGTGCTCCATCGATCTCAATTATTTCCTCAAATTTCTTTCTTTTGTGGAAAAGAAACCAAGAAATATCATACAAATAAAAGAGTTGAAACTTGATTTTACCTTTTAAAGAAATCAATTAAAAGTATGTATGATGACCTCATAAATTTGTCGAATCTTGTTCTAATTCAAAACCTAACAATTTTGTAGACAATTATTTAAATTGTGGCCACTTATATATGGTCGTTGAAAGAAAGAGGAAGAAACAACACATGGAATCGACACACTGGCTAATCATAACCACATCTATCTTTCATCCACTCACGTCACTCGTCAAACCAAAAGCTATAAGCTCCAAAAAAAGAAGAAGAAGATCACAGAAAGTCTACTGTTTACGTAACCAATAAGAACCAACAAAAATAAAAATAATCATTATTGAAATATAACAAGAGCAATTTTAAAAAAGGTTCAGAGAAAGGAATTCATTAAACGTCCTCCATTTCTACTCTAGCTAAATAGCTAATAGCTCTTTCCATCAGAAACAAATTTCTATTTCACGTAAGCAATAAAAAAAAAAACCGTTTACTTTTTATATATCTTATAAAACTCTCTAACAGAGGTTTTGTCATATTTATTTTAGTAGTTTGTGTTTTATATAAGAAAATGAAAAGTATGATCCTGAAGACAACACCGGAGCTCTTCAAGGGAAATGGAGTGTACCGTACGGATCATCATCTCGGAGAAAATCGATTGGTTGGTCGATCATACCGGCTAGGTAATGGATCAAACAGGTT